GGGGCCCCATGAGATGCCCCTGGTACCTTTCATAGGCTTTTTTGGGAGTGGTTTGAGTGTGAGCGAGGACATAGGGGCCCCATGATTTCCTATTGCCCGGGGCCCCATGAGTTGTCAGTCTGCCCCTGCTTCCACCCTATACCCACAGGAGTCTCGGAACTTCCTACCTCTCCTCCAGCCCTGTGAGCACCGCAAGCGGCCAGTTTTGAATTTGACATGCATGATATTAAGCACTTTTAACATGTGAGTTGTGATTAGATTTTTACCTGTCTGTTTGCCCGTTGCTGCACTTCAAGTTGCTTTCCTGTCTTTCTATAGTGGGATCACACAGGAGCTGTGGGAGAAACCGCATGTGATTTGGACAGGAATTGCACCGCATTCCTGTTCAAATCGCATGTGATTCTTTGCAGTGCCATTTGAACACCTTATTTTTGTATGGGCTTAAACCACACAGCCCACAGCTGCACAAAAGTATCAGTACTTGGTATCGGCGAGTACTTGATCGGTACTTGTACTCGCCAATAAAAAAACGGTATTGGTGCAACCCTTGTCCTAATGCAGCTTATTTGATGGGGGTGGGGGGGTGTTGTTCTGAACATGCACTGTCGCAACGCGGGATATGTGTATGTGTGTGTGTGTGTGGGGGGGGGGGATATTCTGATTGTCCATTTTCCGAATGCATAATATGAGGGAAAGGGGGGGGGGGGGTGTTTCAGATTCAGATTGTTCACTGTCTCACTTTAGCTTATTTTAAATGGGGTTTCCTCTGACTGTGCGCTGTCCCACTGCAGCTTATTTGGGAGGGTTTTTTCTTGTTTTAGGGGCCCTATGGGGCCCTTTGATCCCTAGCTCCACCTACATCTGTGCTACTTGGGAAAGAGCTGCACAGATTGGTCTTGGCCCACCTACCATGACATTGCATAAACCCTCCTATGATCCACTCAGGTCTAGGACTATATGGCAACACTATACAAGGAGGGAGTCAACATGTCTGTGAAGGTTCTCATCTATTCAGGTCATTGTATATCTATTAGTAGTTAGTAACATTCAGCTGGACTTGTTTGGCAATGTTGAAGATGGTCCATAGCTTCTCCAAGCCACTTCTTCAGCTCTTGGCCAAGAAGTGGCTTGGTAAGCTACAAAACATCTTCAACATTACAGAACGTCTTGTTGAATATGAAATACTATTACTAAAGGAGGCCAGCAGTTATCAAAAGATGCCATTCTGCATTCTATTTGGTCTACTAGCCAACATCACTGGAAGGCCCATCCTGTACCTTCTCCATCTTGTAAGTCCATCAAGTTTTGCCCAACCCTTTAGCTGCAAACTGGACATGGTAACACAGTGTAAAAGGCAGATTATTTAATTAGCTGAACTGAGAAATGAATACGTGACCCTTGATGGAATGCGTTTTGAAATATATGCATTTGCCTGAAGCTATCTTTAGAATGAGTATGAGAATTTCCTCTCTGCAGGATTTTTGAGGAAGTTTTGGTTGTTCGTTCTGTATTGGAGGCGACCAGTCTCCATCGTATGAATGGTGTGCTGCTGTGTCCTTAAATCATGGGTGAAGCTTGCGGTTCCCATTTTGTAGGCTCCATTCACAAATCACTCGGTGACAGTATCATTCGGGGACAGAGCTGTCCGCCTTCCTTCACTGGCGACTTTTGTCAGCCACAGGCTAGTCACTGTCTGAAAGGGAACCACTTCTCCCTCCACACAGGATGCTGCTGTGAGTTCTGCATTCTCCCTACACACGCACACCAGAACAACATATGTTCATTGACAGGGCCTTGGGGGTTTCATTAAAGGACCACTCAACCCAAAAGTGGCAGAGTAGCTTTTTGGTGAATGCTAAAGATTTAAAGACAGCAACACCTTTTTATATAAAATTAACAATACATAGTTAAGTAGGTGTTAAAATGAAAAATTCAGTGCTGGACCTCCCCACCGGCATTATTTACCAAAGATGTACCGTTCTGAGGTCCATCATTGGTTCTCTTCTGGGTTACATAATGTCCGGCATCATTCATCTGCTTCCTGTGAACCCAGGTTGTCATTGTCCTTCCTCTTACCGTGATGTGGCCTTGGGTCACAGTATGGCTACACACAACTAAACTTATGTAGCTCCATTCTGTGAGGGAGTAAGGACTTCTGACTGAAGAAGCTTGAAGAAAAGGGGGGCCCTAACATCATGGTACCAACCAGAAGGCTGCAAGATTTAATAGTGGATATACACACTTCAATCAGGGATGGATCTAGGGGAGTGCTGGATTCCCATCAGAGTGCCCCCTCACATCAGGGTTCCCATCAGAGTCACCCCCTACATCAGTGTCTCCAATAATTTGCCACCCTTACATCAGTTATCCCTATCAGAGTGCCCCCCCTTACATCAGTTATCCCCATCAGAGTTCCCCCTTACATCATGTGTCTGAATCAGTGCCCCCTTACATCAAGTGTCCCCATCACAGTGCCCTTATATGGAATGTCCCCATCAGTGTGCCTCCTTACTTCAGGTATCTGCATCAGACAGGCTCATGGATAAGTGGAAGGGGGGCAACTAAAATCTGATGGGGCACAGCCTGTCTGATGCAGATACTTGAAGTAAGGAGGCACACTGATAGGGACAATCCATATAAGGGCACTGTGATGGGGACATTTGATGTAAGGGGGCATTCTGATTCAGACACATGATGTAAGGGGGCACTCTATGGGGATAACTGATGTAAGGGGGGGAACTCTGATAGGGATAACTGATGTAAGGTGGGCAAATTATTGGGGACACTCTGATGGGAATCCGATGAAAAAGGGAACTCTGAGGAATACTCATGATGTAAAGAGGGACTCTGATGAGGACTCCTTATGTAAAGTGGATCTCTGACAGGAAATCTAATTACAGCCTAATACACACTAGTATTTCCTCAGTTGTGATCAGGGGCGGACTGACAACTCATGGGGCCCCCGGGCAATAGGGGATCATGGGGCCCCTGTGTCCTTGCCCAAACTTAAAAAAGCCTATGAAAAAGGTACCAGGGGTATCTCATGGGGCCCCCTACTGACCCCGGGCCCTCGGGCAGTGCCTGAGTTTCCAAATGGTCAGTCCACCCCTGGTTGTGATACTGTTTGACAGACCACCAGTGACTCACACACAGTGTTGACATCATGCCCTTTGACTTTTTTACTGCACCCCCAGATCAAATCTGGCCCTGATTTCAATTTTATTATCCAATTGATGTGAAATTTAATCAAAACAATCAATTCCACAAATAATTCCCATAACTTCAATTCTAAATGAATTAAACTTAATTTAGAATGGATTCAAACAAACGGGTTTGATGGGTCATGGTGGAAAATTACTGATCCTTTTGTATGTGAGATAACTTGTTCATTGATGCGATTGTATTTTAATCGATCAAATTATGGGATTATACGCTGCAAACAGAGAAGTGATCCCTAATTTATAATTGGAAATTACTATCATATCTTAACATTGATTGAAACCTAGTTCCCCATGTGTGGTATAGCAGTCAACTGAGTTGTCAACTATAGGTTGATTATTTCTATTGGAAGAGATTGATTGGAAAATAAATTGATCATTTATTAAAGCATGTATGGCCACCAATAAGCTGAATTCCAAGAAATTATAAAAAACACAAATCAATACAGCTCTGTATTATTAATACTGTACATCATTAAATTAATATTTTAATTGCAAGCACTTTAAGTACCTAAAACTGACTTGGTATCAGTACCATGCCCTCATGTACAGCAGGGCTGGAGTGTGGGAGGAAGAAGCAGCACAAGTAGCCATTCGGTGCTGACAACAAATATACTGATAGAAGGAGAGAGAAAAGTGACAGAGAGATTAGCTCATCACTATGTTGCTTCTCCTTTCACTGTCCAGTCACAGACTTGGGCTGGTCCAGGACAACCTGAACTCATAGGAAGTAGGTTGAATGATGATGACCATCAGACTGAAGACATCTGATGGCAGAAAACAATTATTGCAGGAGAAATCTCCGGACTGAAGATGAAATGCTGGTTTTGTTATTTGTCTTTTAATAGGCTATTCATTTTTATTCTTTTCATTTTTAAGTGGAGTTCTTCTTTTAGGTAGCTATAGAGTGAAGTTTTTTTTTTTTTAAAGGACTTTTAAGAAGGAGAAGTCACAACAGCTCAGAGTTGGGCTTGGAAGCTTCACCTTCTATGATTATAAAGGAATTCTTAAAGTATTACTAAACCCACAACAGTAAAATCAGTCTGTATCTGCAGTAAATCATGCTTGTCATACTCAGGGCTGTGGATAAGGGGGTACCACTGGTCCTTCTGTACGGGGCCCAGACTAGCAGGGGGGCCCAGGCAGCTAGGTGAATCGGATGTGGGCAGGGAGGGTGATCGACACAACGGACACCTGATCCCCTGTATGGCTGTCTCTGCAGCACCTCCCGGTGCACCATACATTTACCCATGCTGTCCAAGCCCCTTCTGCGTGTCCCCCCACCCCTGCAATGCTGACGGGTTCTCTCCTCTCCTTCCCAGCTGCAAACACACTATAGGATCCTTAGGATGAATAGCCGGGGAAGAGTCAGTAAATATGTCACATTTACCAGCCCCTTCCTTTCCTGAATGAACACAAGGAGTAATTGCTACCGATCACTCGCTGTGTTCATTCATAACTGAAGCCTGGTAAACTGTGTTTAGTTGGGGGCCCTGTCACGTCAGCTGTACGTGGCCCCGTGGTTTCTAACAGCAGCCCTGGTTGTACTCACTGTGGAACCTAGGGGGTTAATTCTCTGCATTGTGTAAAAAGGCCATTTGATCCCGATTGCTCTGTTCCTCCCCTTGTTTAAGCGACCACCTCTTATAACCTGATAAGACAGACTGAACAGTAGACATTTTGCACAGGCTCAGTTTGGTGTGTATTGCTAGAGAAGTGTTTTTCTTTCTTGGGAGATTGCATGTGATCAGCACATGGCCAATCACAACTGGTCAGACAGAGGTCAGGGGTTCTGCATCCTCCTAGAGCAGAAAGAAAACTCCTCCTACAAGCTTTAGCTAGTGCTCTGCTGGACATTGATAGAAGTCACAAGACTGCTCTAACTGCTAATGAGAAAAGGTATTTAGAAGTTTCTATTTACTGAAATAGTTGCATTTCTATGTTGTGTGTACTGTGGGAGACCAGATATAGTGAATGCAGGGTCCTGGGAGACCAGATAGAGTGAATGCAGGGTCCGGGAGACCAGATAGAGTGAATGCAGGGTCCTGGGAGACCAGATAGAGTGAATGCAGGGCCCTGGGAGACCAGATAGAGTGAATGCAGGGTCCGGGGAGACCAGATATAGTGAATGCAGGGTCCAGGGAGACCGGATATAGTGAATGCAGGGTCCGGGGAGACCAGATATAGTGAATGCAGGGTCCAGGGAGACCAGATATAGTGAATGCAGGGTCCGGGGAGACCAGATAGAGTGAATGCAGGGTCCGGGGAGACCAGATAGAGTGAATGCAGGGTCCGGGGAGACCAGATATAGTGAATGCAGGGTCCGGGGAGACCAGATATAGTGAATGCAGGGTCCGGGGAGACCAGATATAGTGAATGCAGGGTCCTGGGAGACCAGATAGAGTGAATGCAGGGTGCAGGGTTAAGCTCCAGTCCAGTGACTTTGCCTAGGCTGAGATGATGTCATCAGACTGCTGCAAGCATGAAGAAGAATTTCTTTAGTCTCCTCCCTCACATACTTCAAAATTGCAACTATGTAGCAATTCACAATGTGAGAGGCTGCATCAGAGGCTGATCTGTGGCAGATAATTGTAAAAACAAAAAAGAACTGTAAAAGCACCAGGATTTATCTGGCATCTCAAACCAGGATGCAGCTGCTGACCCTGGATGATGCCTGAATAAAGGTGGCTTTGTCCTTCTGGGGAGAAAGGAAGATGAAGGCACTGTCAGAGGGATTAATAAAAGTGAAGTGTTATACACGGGCAGCACAGTGGATAAATGGTTAGCACTTCCGCCTGGCAGTAATAGGGTCGTTGGTTCGAATCCCAGCCACGGCACCTCCTGCCTGGAGTTTGCATGTTCTCCCTGTGCATGCGTGGGTTTCCTCCGGGAACTCCGGTTTCCTCCCACACTCCAAAGACATGCTGGTAGGTGAATTAGCTCCTGTCTAAATTGTCCCTAGTATGTGTATATATGAATGTGAGTTAAGGACCTTAGATTGTATGCAGCTTGAGGGTTAGGGACTGATGTGAATGTACAATATATAAGTAAAGTGCTGTGTAAACTAGCGGTGCTATATAAGTACCTGAAATAAATAAAAATAAATACATGTATGCAGGTAATGTATCATGGCTCTGTCCTGGACTCTTAGAAGAATGTTGCACTTGGCACCGTTTTTTTGCATTATTTAGGGTCCACCCACTGCCAAAGATTGAAGAAGACCTGTGATGTCACTGGAACAAAGATTCTTGGAAAAATGTGTTGATTTTTTTTTTTTTTTTAATTGGTGCTCCAATAGGGAGAAGGGACAAACAACTGTGAAATCCTGAGCCCAGAGTTGGCCTTTAATGCTCTTTAGAAGAATAAATGTCCCAATGTAAACACCTTTGCGGGTGATGTATGTGTGTTATTGTAGAGCGGTGTAGCCCATTGTCCCCTCTGTTGTGTTTGTTGTCCTTTGTGCACTCAGCAAAGCTTTTTTGTGGTTTTCACTATTCAACATCAATCAGTTTTGCTGATGGTTATAAAATCTTTTTTCTTCTTTTTTTTTTTTTACAATTCGTGTCAGTGCAGAGCGTACCGCGGCTCATGTACACACTCCCCCCCCCCATAAGAGGCTCAACGGATTTAAAAAACGGATTCAGATTGTTTTTCTGATTCAATTTGGAAGGTTGCCATATCTTATTTTAACCGGCAAAAACATTCCTGGTTCCACTTCCAAAGTTACAAACAAAACAACAATTAGTGTAACTCCTACTAGGGAGAATACTCAACTGAATGTTCAGGTTGTATCAGCTGCATCAAAACGAAAGGGGTGCAGCCTTACCTTTTAGGTTGTTTTGCAAAAAGCAGCCACATCCTCAATAGAAAAAGTCTATTCCCCGCCAGCGTAGTGCTGAGAAGGACTGTGTTGAAGCAGTGGTCCCTCTGCAGATGTCTGACACGCCCCCTGCTGAGTCAGAGCCAGTGCTCTCCAATCAGTAGAGAGCATGAGTTTGCTGATTGCAGAGCTATATGTCGGACTCAGCAGTGGGCTTGTAGACCTCAGCAAAGAGACCACTGCTTCAACACAGAGAGCAAGGGTCCCACCTAGAGCTAGATCTCTACAGTCAGCAGAAAGAAAACGTTTGCCGATTGCAGAGTCATAAGTCTGACTCAGCAGGGGGCATGTTAAACCTCAGCAAAGAAACCACTGCTTCACCACAGAGAGCAAGGGTCAGTCCCACCTAGAGCTAAAGCTCTCCAGTCAGCAGGGAGAAAAAGTTTGCTAATTGCAGAGTCATAATTCTGACTCAGCAGAGGGTATGTTGGACCTCAGCAAAGAGACCACTGCTTCAACACAGAGAGTAAGGGTCAGTCCCACCTAGAGCTAGAGCTCTCCAGGCAACAGGGAGCACGAGTTTGTTGATTGCAGTCATAGGTCTGACTCAGCAGAGGACATGTTGGACCTCAGCAAAGAGACCACTGCTTCAACACAGAGAGCAAGGGTCCCACCTAGAGCTAGAGCTCTCCAGTCAGCAGGGAGCAAAAGTTTGCTAATTGCAGTGTCATAATTCTGACTCAGCAGAGGGCATGTTGGACCTCAGCAAAGAGACCACTGCTTCAACACAGCAAGGGTTCCACCTAGAGCTAGAGCTCCCCAGGAAGCAGAAAGAAAAAGTTTGCTGATTGCAGAGTCATAAGTGATTGCAGAGTCATAAGTCTGACCCAGCAGAGGGCATGTTGGACCTCGGCAAAGAAACCACAGCTTCAACACAGAGAGCAAGGGTCAGTCCCACCTAGAGCTAGAGCTCTCCAGGCAACAGGGAACACAAGTTTGCTGATTGCAGTAATAAGTCTGACTCAGCAGATGGCATGTTGGACCTCAGCAAAGAGACCACTGCTTCAACACAGAGAGCAAGGGTCCCACCTAGATCTAGAGCTCTTCAGTCAGCAGGGAGCAAAAGTTTGCTAATTGCAGTCATAATTCTGACTCAGCAGAGGGCATGTTGGACCTCAGCAAAGAGACCACTGCTTCAACACAGAGAGCAAGGGTCCCACCTAGATCTAGAGCTCTTCAGTCAGCAGGGAGCAAAAGTTTGCTAATTGCAGTCATAATTCTGACTCAGCAGAGGGCATGTTGGACCTCAGCAAAGAGACCACTGCTTCAACACAGAGAGCAAGGGTCCCACCTAGAGCTAGATCTCTCCAGGCAGCAGAAAGAAAAAAGTTTGCTGATTGCAGAGTCATAAGTCTGTCTGGCACTGGATCTCTCCAATCAGTAGGGAGCATGAATTTGCTAGACAAATGTGTTTTGTTTGTAACAAGTCGATTTTAAGATGAAAATTTGATTTGTAGAGATTCGGATGTATGCAAATCTCCTAACTGACATAGTAAAAAAATGTCAGCAAATCTGAAGAAGTTATATTGCAATTAACAAATGCAATTGTTGCATTCGGATGGGGAAATGAATTCATTTTTCAAATTTGTTCAATAATTGGGACTTAAATCGATTTTGTAATTGTAACAGCCAGTCACTTCAGTTCCACAGTCTAATGCAATTCTTAGGTTTGATAAATTCGGGGCCACCAAATTTTGCATTACTTATTCTGTTGCATCCAAAAATATCAAATAGTTTGGATATTTGAATCCACCTGAAATATCGAAACCGAAAGCAAAATCGGTTCAAAAATAAATATGACTGACCGAAATTCCTCAATGAACAAATGCAGCATCCAAAACAGTCTACTAATATCGAACTCAGCAGGGAGCCTGAGTTTCATATTAGTAGAATTTCAATCAAAAGTTAAATGTTGGTTTGATTTTCTATTGGCTAACAGAGTCAAATTGACGTTGTCTACCACATTGATGAGAAAATTCAAAGGCACAGGATAGATAATTTCTCTCTGACAACCACATTTCTAACAGAGTATGTAGTTTTAATTTGGGGAAGTCCCCTAGTTCCAAAATAAAATGTTCAAAGCAAACGTCTTTTAAGTACTTTCGAATTACATTTGTCCAGACATTGAATGTACTGATGAGAGTTTTCATACGAATGTTCACTTGAAAATCTATGGCTGTAGGCAGGGGCAGACTGACAACTCATGGGGCCCCCGGGCAATAGGGGATCATGGGGCCCTGTGTCCTTGCCTAAACTCAAAAAAGCCTATGAAAAAAGGTACCAGGGGCATCTCATGGGGCCCCCTACTGACCACGTGCCCTCGGGCAGTGCCCGAGTTTCCAAATGGTCAGTCCGCCCCTGGCTGTAGGTAATGTTGAAGGCACGGACTGCTGGAGAATGGAGTTTACTGGTTCCTCTATTGCAGGGAACTGGAGTTTTGAGTTCTTGTGGATCATTTTAAATTCTGAATGTTCTATGTCCACCGTTATATTACCGTTATAATGATGGTATTCGCATCCTTCTCTCCAGTAATTATGAGTCATGGCTGAAAGAACAGATATCACTGAGCTCAGAGAATCTTCTCAGTTCCTCCTACTTGTAGAATAACAGACCCATACACTCATGGCTTATGAACTTCTCATTCCTGTTGGTGGTTTCCACATACCAGCCTCACCCTGACCAAGAATTACTGAACTCTGCTGTCGCTAATTATTTTAATATTTGAATGGCTTGTGTATACAATGGAATTGAATGATAGAATGATAAAGTTACAAGCTAAGGTTTTTTTTATTGTTATTATTATTCTGCTTAAAGGATAATTTCGCATTTTGACACAAAATAATAAGTGCACATTTTTTTGCAGGTAAAAAAATGTGCATTTATTATTTTCGGTTGCAGGAGCCTATAAAGCATTGCACCAGCGACCAGCAGCTCACTGGTGCCATGCAGGTCTCCTGCAGACTTGTCAGTATATCTGCTTGCCCATACGGGATGTACAGGCAAGCAGATATACTGACAGGAAGAATCATTGAACTACAAGCCGACAGCCGCTAAGGCTGTTGGAATTTAGAGTTCATTCATTCACAGACCTCCTTCCTTCTGCTGGTGATCCCTCTAGTGAT